TCTCTATGTTGGTCAGGCTGGTATCAAACTCTTGACCTCAGGTGATCTGCCCGCCTAGGCCTCTGAAAGTGCTGGGATTACAGGCATGAGCCACCATGCCTGCCAAGTGTCAGCTTCCTTATTGATTCTGATGGCTGCATAGTATTCCATTGCGTACATATACTGTAATTTATTCAGCTAGTCCTCTGTTGACATTTAGATTGTTTCCATTCTTTTGCCTTAGTATAAACTATCTGCAGAATAACCATATATATATATACATAAATTCATGCATATAAATTTCTAAATGTGAAATTTGAGTCAAAAAGATTATAATTTTGATGTGTTGTCAAAGTATCCTTTATCAAGATTCAACGGCAATTATGCAAATTTAGCCTAGATATTTCTTTATCTCTTTTAAGCTGTATTCAATGGCTGTGAGAAAGGAAATTTGAAACTGACCCCAAAAGAAGATTCTAAAGAAGTGGCTTTCCCAAAAATGATACGTTTGATATTGTGAAGTATAAAATTCTTAGGGTTCAAACAGCTTACCTCATAGAAGACATTGAAATTTTACTTTAATTCTTGTACAATACTTGTAAAGATTGTGGTTTCTAATACTCCAAAGTCTTGCTATTTGGCTTAATTTTTTTTAAATTTTAATCATTTAGATGTTTCCAGCTGCACTATAAACTATAGAGAGCAAAACTCAGAAACGTGGCAAATAGTTCCGCTGTTTTACAGACCTGAGCCCTGGCAGAGAAGAGGAAAATGGCTCTCTGTGGGAGCACTCCTGCAAGCTCTTACTCTCCTTGAGGCATTTTCCTTGCCCAAATAGGAAGGGAAATTATTTTCCAGTCTTAAATCGAGTGCCAAAATTATTCTTGGAATTGCTCCCTTCATCTGTCAGTTTCAGTTTTTCCCTGTGAAGTTGTGGTCAGGGCAGCCAGACCTTCACCATCAGAATCAGGATTGGAACTGAATTGCTCCCACACACAGCTGGTTTGGAAAAACTCCTTGCAAGGCAATTTTGATGAGGGATGAGAAACATCAGAGAGCTGATACGTGTTGGATCTGAAGCTCTAACCACACATCTGACTTGAGTCTCTCTACAGTGCTAGTGGCTAACAGCGACACAAAGGAATTAATCATCCTCAGAGATTTCTTAGGAAAGAAAAGACAGAGGAGTTGAGTTTCACAGCTCCCTAGTGTGAGTCTCCAGCTCATTTCCCAAGTTCTTCATTTTCATTCTCTTGCTTAGTCTGGTCTAGTCAAGAGTGTGGGCTTTGGACCCAGATGAACCTTAACCACATCCATGTGTGTCCCTTTCTGGCTGTGGGATCAAGGGTGAATTTGCCTCCTAGAGATAGGGTCCCCACCAATAAGACCGGGAGAACACTATCCTCCTCTACCTTCCTGTCAGTGTTGAAGTGAGGATTAAAGAAAATCAACTAGGCCGGGTGCGGTGGCTCACACATTTAATCCAGACACTTGGGAGGCCAAGGCCAGTGGATCATCTGAGGTCAGGAGTTCGAGACCAGCCTGACCAACATAGTAAAACCCTGTATCTATTAAAAATACAAAACTTAGCCAGGCATAGTGGCAGGTGCCTGTAACCCCAGCTACTTGGGAGGCTGAGGCAGGAGAATTGCTTGGACCCAGGAGGCAGAGGTTGCAGTGAGCCAAGATCACACCACTACGCTCCAGCCAGGGTGACAGAGTGAGGCTCTATCTCAAAAAAAGAAAGAAAATCAACTATGGGCATGATGTCTTGCACGATCCTGACAAATAAGGCTCAGTAAATGTTAGTTCCTTTCATATTATCACCTTTCTACCCTGCTGGCCAATGACTTAAAACTCATTCTTCTGGAGCTTATGGTCTTGACCAGTATTAAGTTAGAAAAGAAGCATTATGGTAAGCAATCTAAGTCAGGACACCGGCTTCACCTGTACCTAAACTA